AGAGCTAAAGTTCCCTTTGCGCAAGCTATACGAGTGGCATCTCGTCAGCCGGGGCGAGAAAGAGGCTTCACTCAGGCGAAGTTCGCGGCAGTTATAGGTTCCATAAGACCAAATTAAGGGGTTGTTTTCATTCTGCTGGGACCCAGTTATCTTATCATTATTTTAACACGTCAGGTGTGGTGTCACCAGACAGAGTCCCATGGCAAAGGTTCCTTATATGGAACAGCTCAGTTACACGAAACTCCAGGTGTATCTCTTACTTAACCGCTGGTTATAAGGGGGTTATGAGTGGGGCACATCAGGCGGAAGAAAACGTTATTAAAATAGTTGAGCGAGTAAAATTAGAAATAATAGCAGAGATTAAACGAAAACCAGGAGACATAGGCTTCTTCCCATTTTTTAAGTAGAAAAGCAACCGCATATCGCTTATAAAACTAACGAAACGAGGATAAACTGAAGTACACTAAGCTAATTAAACTAAAAAGTCATCTACACTAAAATAAAAACTAAGAGAACTAAAAACTTTACTAAAACTAAAAATAAATTAAATTTATTAAATAAGATAAGCTCAATTTTAGGTCCCACATTATTCCTTGTTTTCCTTAACGACTGTATCAGGGATAAGACTGTGATGTCACCTTGTTCGCTGATGACATAAAATTTTGGAAAATACGACCAATGAAAACCATCTGCAAACTAACTTGAACAAATTGGAGGGCTAATCAAAGCATTGGCTTATACCTTTCAATGTTAGTAAATGCAACTTTCTTCAAATCGGCAGTTGTAGAGCATACAGCCCGAACGTCTATTCCTTAAACGGTACGCCGCTGCAAAAAGTTGAGAGTCAGAAGAGCTTGGGTGTGTGAATGACTTCTTCACCCAAACCAATGCTGAACTGTACGAAGTCGAAAAGATCTATGTTACAGCTGATTAGACGAGCCTTTATGGGGTTTGAAAAAGACAGCTTTTCCAAAATATTTGGAAGCTTCGTTCGACCGCACCTGGAATTCGCTATAGAGGCATGGAGACCTTGGACTGTCAAAGACTTTATCGTCCAGAGGCGGGCGACAAAAATGGTTAAAAGTCTGGGAACACTGCCCTATTAAAGCAGACTGTTAACCCTCGATATATTTCCCCTTTCCTACAGAAAACTCCGAGGTGACCTCATACTTACCTTCTGTATTATAAAATGGATTGTTGTTTCGTCTCCGACGATTTATTTGCCCAGGCTAATACGCCAACTTTGCGCGGTCATCCCCTTAAACTGTGCCCCGGCAAAGCAAGGATCGACGGACGAAAGTTCTTCTTCAGCAACAAAGTAGTTGCAGCGTGGAACGCCCTTCCCAAAGAGGTTGTCCTCTCCACCTGTGTTTATTCATTTAAGTACAGACAGGACATGCACCGCATATTGACCATTGCGCGTGGTTGTAACATGTCTGCCATGTAACAAACGTGTATTACGTTATACTACTCGTGATTAGCGAGTAATCATGCTTTTATTACTATTTCGACTACCTAACAACTGTTGGGTCATCACCCTGAACATACAATTGACGTATTCTTTTCAAAATTTTCTTTGTGTTCATACATTTCCCATCGTCTTGTTGCCAATAGGGAGTATGAAGGCGTTCACCTATCTTTCCCTCAATAAACTGATACTGTATACTAAACCAAAACCAATAGAACTGAATAGTAAACTAAAGTAAAACTAAATCCAAAGGAAATTAAAGAAGGTAAAAGCTAAACATAAACTAATAGAAGGCGATAATAAACTTAAAACTTAACTAAAACTGAACTGAAAATCAAAGCAAGTTAAGTAAAGGAAGATATACTAAGGCAAACTATCGAAACTCAATACTATACCAAAACCAATAAAACTAAATACAGTAGTCGCCGGCTT